GACTGAAATTTGCTGGTCTGGTCTGGTCTGAACTGGTTTGATCTGGTCTGGTAAACGTCTGGTCTCTGTGTATTTTATAACTACGGAAGCCTGGTCTGATCTGGTCTGGTCTGTTTAAGTCTGGTCTGGTCTGGGACTGAAAACTGTCCAAAAGAAAACATCCTAATTGAAGTATTGAAGATTTGCATATAGTCGGTGCATGTTATCCAAAATAGAGTCCAATTTTTTTGCCGCACACATAAGCCAAAAGCGTATGGACTCATTTTCAACTAAAAATTGGACTCTTTTTTTGGTAGAAAAAACAGGTTAGTTTCTAATTAGAAGTATTGAAGATTTAGAGGCTATAATTGAAGGCTTAACCTTTGTCTTTCAAAGTTTGATCCTGATTTTATTACCTAATTATTATGGAATCCATTCTAGCAGATGGGATTTGGTCAACTAGAATCCCTAAACGATACTCTCTCTTTTCTTAATCTATCCACTTTTGCTTCGAACATTCGGTTGATCTTCCACAAAGAAGTGATCAAAGAAAAAATAAATTGAAAGAAGCTCGTAATTGTGCACAAAAAGTGTAAAAAATAAGCTAGTAGCCACAAGTAAAAACGAACTAGTAGTCTGGTGCCATATTTTGAAAAGACGTCTTTGAAAGTGTGCCGAATGAGAAAATTTTACAACGATTTCAGAATATGAGGGAACGTCGACAAATGCTACCACGCACTACGGCATAATCATGTACGTCCGTTTAGTCTTCTTTATGTTTTATCCAACTTTCTTTTCTTGGAACTTCTTTGTATTCATACTATTTTTAGGTTTTAAATTTTTTATGCCTTTAGTTTCCGACCCCGCTGAACCAAATTCCTGGCTCCGCCCCTGATTGTAGATCATAATTTTTTTTCAAAGAAGGAAACATAACACTTAGAAAACGCAAATCACTCCTTATATAGAAGGTTCTGTCCAGCCGTCGCCATTTGGGATGGTTCACGGAGGAATTTTTTGATGAATTTTTTTTAGCATCTTCTTCATTACCAAATTTCAGAAAAAAATTTAATCGAGAAGACAGTCAAATGAATTTCTGAAATGTACTGCATTGTTTAATGCACAGTTATCTTCAAAAATTCATCTGACTGTCTTCCCGATTGTATTTTTATCTGAAATTTGGTATGAGTAAACTAGACTTAATGCAGAAGATGCTCAAAAGGTTTCATCAAAAAATTCGTCCGGGAAGCACCCCAAATGAAGAAGGCCGGACAGAGTCTCCTATATAAGGGGTGATTTGCACATGTTAAGTTAGTTTGAGTGCGTATTTGACACTTTAGCCTTACAAAGGTTTAAGGGTCAAATAACTCGAGAGCCTATGTGACCCTTTTGTCTTTTAAGTTAGTTCGAGGGACGATTTGACCCTTTAACCCTTATAATTTCATTGAATAACTTATTTTGTTGCATCAAGTCTATCCTAGATCTTTTTTGCCTTCAAATCTTCATCGTGAACCTCCCAGTGATGACCTCCAAAGCTCTCTATTCACTCTCGAAAGCTTCTCAACTTTTCCCGATTTCTTCTCAAATGCCGGTGTCGGACTCAAGTTCCCTGATTTTGACTCTAAAACAATACAAAACACAAACCAACACCCGGTAAACATGACTTGAGCTAAAATTGAGACTTATAACACATTAAAGCTAGGAAAACCATCAGAAGTCAATCCCAACACGCATCAAATGTGTGTCGAAATACGGACTTATCAAGTTCCCTCATACTTAAGCCTTTGTTTGTCCTCAAACAAACTGAACAACGGGACTTACGATAATCACCACACAGAATTAAAATAATTAACATGCACACATAGCACGCAATGTTCCAACTAAGTTCTCTGACTTAGTTGGTCTTAAATTATAGATTGATGGATAACGAATGAAGTTCTGACTCAAATACTTGCAAAGTTGCAAGTAGTTATTACACGGTACTCACTCTGTTCTACTAAATTGTTTAATGTCATATTTGGTAATATTTGTTTGATTATAATTTATTCTTATTTTATTCACAGTTTAATAATTTAATATAAACCATATAACTATACTTCCTTAACTACCACACCACCTCTCTTGTCACATTTTTGAGGACTGAGTTGGTAACTTGGTATCTTTTTAGTTTCTAACAATGGGGTGGCCCATACAACCATAGCTTTATTGTGTGCCTGCTTCGGTTAAGTTAGCCTTACTTCCAATACCTAAAATTAGTTTCAATATAATTCAAAATCCAAACAAAGCGTGAAAAAGAGTTGAAATTCTTTCACTTCACAATAATGAGGCATTTCGACTTCTTTTATTTAGTATTTCAATTACATTTGAATCATACCATGAAGAGGCATATCTTATATTGATCCCAATAACCCCAATGATGAAATATTGCACCATAAAAAAACTTCGTTATAGGCACGAATCAAATCCGAATCAAATTAGTCTCGGTTGTTGGCATGCAACAGATAAACTTTTGATCTTGGCGCGGAACAGTTGCCGCCAATACAAATTTCGGGGTTGGCACAAAAAATCCGTTCCAAGTTCCGCCCAGAGACGAAAAAACACTAAATTTTTGGATAGTTGACACATCCGATCCAAAATCCGTGCCAAATTGCATCGGTTAAGTAACCGAGACAACATTCCGAGACAAAATCCGTTCAACTACCGAAAAAATTCAAAAAATCAGATGGATTTAATCTGGTAGGGATGGAGAATTCGTTATATGTTCCAGGCACGCAATGTCCCACACAAATTCCCAGCCAACGTTTGCGACAGAACTAGAAAACCGAGCCAACACGTTTGGCACGAGCTAGGTGGCACGGAATTAAAACCCGTTCCAAAACTGAGCCAAACCGTTCGTCTGAAAAAATTGTGAAGAGATCCATGCCTATATCCGTGCCTAGGGGTGGGCAAAAATACCGAAATATCGGTATACCGCACTTATCGTACCGAAAAATACCGGAAAATACCGAAATATTGGTATACCGTCATTTTCGGTACGGTATCATACCGTACCGATCTATTTCGGTACGGTAACGGTAAATGTTTTCAAATACCGCGGTATACCGGTATAATACCGTACCGACTCTCTACTCAACAATTACTTTTAATTCTAATATATTGTAGAAATCCATTACAATTTTGAAGCCCATAATTAATACTTAAGTTGGTTACAAATACAAATATGCAAAAATAAATGCCCAATTTCTCAAATCCACTATAACCTTATAGGCTTCTACCACGCTAACCTTAATGACTAATGAGTAATGTACAAATGTCAAAAAAAAAATTCATCTTGTTCCAAGAGCTTGCAAGTCGTGATGGCTGGGCTGCTAAATAGCTGACGAGTGAAGAGAGATACACTTATGTGATAAGTGTATCTACATATGGATTCCGCGAGTCGAGACACACAACTTTGTCCGAAAGTCTTCAATTTTTAAAAAATTATAAAAATGACTAAATACACAATATCATATTAGGAATAAATGATTTTATATCCATGTTGTTTGAATAGTTTTATTTATTTTTGTTAGAGATCACTATTGATTTAATTATATCTATATTGTTCAAGTTATTTTAGGAGAATGTGTTACTTTTTTGATATGTGGCATGTTAAATTGCTTAAATATAATAATAATTATTGTTCAATATTGAATTGACATCAATAGATTATTAATTGTATTTCGTAACATTTATATAATGATTTAATATGTCACTAGTAATAACGATTTAGTATATTTCGTTAGTCTATGATAATTTTTTGTATTGGCAGACATGCACGGTAATTTACCGATACCGTACCGTTACCGAACCGAAACTTCGGTATACCGAAATGCGGTATACCGAAACTTCGGTAAGGTAAAGGTATGCAAATTTTGCATACCGAAGGTTTTGGTACGGCAAAGGTATGAGAAAAAATATAAGGTATACCGTACCGAACCACCCCTTGACCGTGCCTATAATGATTTTTTTTAGTAGTGTTGCTCTCAATACATGGCCTAGCTTCTCTAAAGACGTATAAAAGTGTTCTATTTAGAGGAATGGAGAAATTAAATGGATGTATGAATTCCGTTCTAAATCACATCGAACAAACTCTTTAGCTATGTTGCACGGATACGGATACTCCGATACGTGGATACGCGAATACGGGTACGGCGATACAGCAATTTCAAAAATTATAGGATACGGGTACGGGGGTATATTTATAAATAATAAAAATATAGGGTATAATTTGCAAATATATATATAATTCATGGGTTCAAAAATAAAATAATAATAGTACAAAAAATTAACTATTATAATAAAATTTCAAAGATTAGTCTAAAAAACTAAAAAACAAAAGTACTAATATTTTGATTTAAATTCAAACAACATTTTTTTTGTTCTCTATTTGCATTTACATCTATGTCTTGTTTCAATTAAAGCTCATCAAGCAATGAAATGAGAAATTATAGTATTCCATTATTTTCCATACTCCCGAAACCATCTTTATCAATGTTCCACATGTTGTGGTCACTTAGGCGACTACTAAATTTTCGTCATGTCGTGTATCAAATGAGGGGCTATAGGGTCAGATACGCGTATCGGTTCACGGATACGGGTATCGGAAGTATCGATATTTTTAAAATTAAGTCCGATACTTTTATTAAATTACGGATACGGACCCAATACGTACAGGATGCGTATCGGTGAGTTTCGGATACGGATACGTATCGGATACGCGGATACGACATCGAGGTGAAGTATCGGTGCAACATAGATAAAAATAAGAGTTTTCAAAGAGTTTTAGTATAAATCCAAAAGAAAATTATTCTCAACCAAAATTCATTACAGATTACTTAGAGCATCTCTAATGGTTTGGTTTGAGGACTTGCTTACAATTTTAAAGCTAATAATTTGTCATGGGAACATTGTTTTTACTTTTGCTTGAGATATGTAATAATTAGTTTAAATGAGCTACTAACTTGATAAAGTGAAATTATTAAATAAAGCATTACTAATAATAAATGAAGAGGAAATTGCTATAGTTAACCATTGTATAGTACATTTCAATTTTGCTACAAATGCTCTTTTTTTTTATTGCACTTTTTTTTTTTTTTTTGCATCCCGAAAGGTAAACCACTCAAATGTGGGGTAAATGTCGGGGAACACTTACCAAATTTATTTAAAAAAAAAACAAAAAGCTAATGAAAAAAAACTAAGGAAAAAAAAACTACAAGAAGATTAAGCTACGGAAAGCAAACTAAGCTAAAGATTAAGCTTTCAAGCGCGATTGTGATCTAGTCTGCATAGATGAAGCTTGAATAGCAAGTTTTTTCTTGTTACGCCGAGAAATAACTGGAGTGAAACAGCAATCTTCAGTGACCTCAATTAAATCATTCTGATCAGCTATAACTGGAGAAGTCGTTGTAGAAATAAATGAAGAAATTGTGACATCCTGAGCCGAAGCCTCAGGTTTCATCTTTTTGTCTAAAATCATCTGATCAGCCCTGAATTGAGTAATAAGATCTTGGAGAGAAGGATAAGTAATGATATTTGGCCTAGAGTTCTTACCAATTCGGTTTCGCTTGGGAAAATAAACATTTTCTACTTCATTTACATCCATCTTTGAGCAAGCATTAAATTCCCTCGTTTCATCGGAAGAAGAAATCATATCAGGCAATGAGGACAAATCCACCGAGATTGTCGAAGGAGAAAACCCCTCAATATCTGCCTGAAAAAGAGTCCCAAAGATCGAAAAAACATAATTGTTACCAACTCTATCAAGACCCAACAACAACTATGGTATAAATTCTTTGTGATGACATAATAACAGTTGCTCACCGAACCCCGCCAACAAATTAATGGCTTTGAATAATCCAGCCAAGAAGTCCCTAAAACCCGATCCATATCTTCCTTCGGGAACAAAAATAGAGCTAATTCCTTTGTTAATGATCCGGATAAAACCACCATAATAATTTGAATCGAAGAGAATAATAAAGTTTCCTAACTCAAATCTTGAATTCACCCAACGATCCAAAGAAATTTTTAAAATGGAATCCCTCAACCATAGCAAATTATCCCGATCAAACACAAATGAAGAAATAAAACCAGATTTGATCTCAGAAATACAAACGGATTTGTGAAAGCAATTAAAATGAAATTCTTTGCTTTCAATAGAAATGCCATACTCAGGAGTAGCAGAGTCAAACGCAGGTTTATGATCCTGGTTCCCGTCAAGATCACGGTCCCTGTAGTCATCCTTCCTCAAGCGAGAATGCAAATTAGCAGACCCCTTTAGCAATCCCTTTCGGTGGCTGAACATATTATCTTCCCTAAATTTATTGCCACGAGCATCAAATCCCTGTAACAACCCTTTACACTGACAATCCTTGGAGTTAACAGCCTGAGAAAAGGTAAAATCATGCCCATATTTCAATCTGGAATCCCTGAGGTTACCCCCTGCCTTAGAATTGTTTTGATTTTGACCCTTGAAGTCCCAATTCGAGAAAGGGCTGAACTCCTTTGCTAATCGCGAGTGAATCCGAAGAGAATGATTACCTCTGCGCTGAGGTTGCGATCCCCATTTGAAAACACAGTCTTTCCGATGGTATTTAGATTCATCATGCAATCGAAGAACAGATCGATCGCAGCAACCAAAACTCCCTCTGTTTTGCTGCAAGACAGTTGGTTCCCTCTTCAATCGGCGGCTGAAAAAGGTCGGCCCATCCTTCCATCTTCGTTGCCAGGCGCAACCAGCGTTACCTAGGCCTGATTTTGTCTCCTCCAAATCCCACTCGAGCGGCGGCGCTCGCCTCCCTACCCTGTCCGCCATTCCGAACTCATATATTGCACTTTATCAATATATCATGTGCTTGCATTCTATAATCATTTTGGAAGTTTATGTGTTCCATTTTAGCAATTATAACATGATTGCAGGACTAAAATCTATGACATTGCTACAAGCTGTAGCAATTATAACATGATTGCAGGACTAAAATCTAACTACAAGCTGGATTGCTACAAATGCTTATGGGCCTATGCAAGCTACGAGTTGAGAGCAATTAGCTAACGGCTGGATATCGATGCTCTTATATTCCAAAAGCTTGTTTATATGTAGTACTATGTTTTAAGATAGATAGGAGTATTAATCACTACAAAAAAGAAAAGATAGAATATTAATTTTCTAGCTAACACATTAATTAATTTAAGATAGAAAATTTGTTCAGTACATCACTACCTCTCAAAATTAAGTACGTTTGGAGACCTAGTTTTTTAAAACCGTCTTATATACGAAGTATATAGGATGATGACGCCTTATCATTTAGTCTAGTATGTTTGTTACTCCGTATATTTCTTGTTACATTTGTTATTTAGTCTCTTGTAAAATTATAATTAGAATAAAATGAGAAAAAAGTACATTACATTTTTTTAAATTAATGTAACAAGCTCATTTGATTTTCTGCAATTTTTTGAGTTTCCGTCTAGATCTAGTTATGCGGTAATCGATCTGCAAATCTGCAATCGATCTATGTTGTTGGTTTTACTTCTCTTCTATTTATGTTTGTTTCTGAAATCATTCTCATTTTCTAATGGATCTTCAATCATTTTCGATTTTTGTTTTCTCGTTTTAATGGCCATTGTTCTTCATCCTCAACTTTGTTTTTTTAAAATGTGAAATTTTGTTTTAAAAATGCTATAAAATGGCATTTTCACTCTTCAAAAATGTCATTTTTTACTTTGAAAATGCCATCAATATGTCATTTTTATGCAAAGTGGCATTCTTAGAAAAAAAAATGGTATTTTATTTTGGTCATGAACAATGCCAATGCTGAGACATGGCATAGGCTGACGGCTGTGGAAGATGCTGCCATCATTAACTTCCCACCATCACTGACGTTTATTTCTAACCACGCACATGGGAGCGCGAGAATGATAAGGATAAATGGAATAGGAAGATTAATTATGGGAGGATGAAACTTTTACTCCCATTAATGCAATTTAACTATTATTTAGTCCTATTTAGGGAATAATCCCTTACTTTCTTATACTTTTGAGATTCTATGTATAAGAAAGACTAATTTGGTAATCAGATATTTTTATATTTCATTTTTACTTCCTTTTTATTAATTTTCGGTTAATTTATTTTAAAACATTCATACTCTGTATTAATTTTTGTCTTTTTCTGATCATTCTGGATCTTGAAATATGAAACAATGACACTAATATTACTTCCTAAGTTTCCAATTCAAAAAATGTCACCACTTTATTTTTTCCAAAATATTGACCGCTCAACTAACGGCACTGTAGCACCGTCACTGTAGCGGCTAGTTAGTGCTTTCAGTCAGTTTTTTAGAAATTTAAATAAAAGGTTACTTTTTTGTCAAGCATCCTCTTATTAGTAATATTGAGGTCAAAACCCCTTGAAATATGCCATAATAATATTTATTTCTTTTTGCGAAATTAATTTGAAAGTAGTTTCAATTCACATTTACGAAACTACAATTATCAAGATGACTAAATATTAGCTTGAATAAACCACATATATAATGCGGGAAGAAGAAAATGTTTCATTCATACGCTGATAATATAACCATTTTTTGACAAAACTGATACTTAATCATCAAGATCCCGTTTGTTAATTAGGAAATACTATTAAAAAAAAGCAGTCTCTCCCTCTCTAGGGTTTTGTTCTTCCGCTTTCGTCTTTTACGAAGAGCGATCGTTGGCTGATTTAGTCGTGCTAGCAGGCTCGTGACCAGGGATGCAACGCTTTGGCGGTCGTGACTTGTCTTTTGTTGTTTTCTGGTCGAGGAGCGGGGTAGACAAAGAAAAGACCGATAAGTTATGGTGGAGCTTGGGTTCGATTCAGCAGTAAGGGATATCTATGGAAGATATTGTCAATCAATACAAAAGTATGACTATTGAGGCGGATGAATGGCGGGCTCACCCCCCTCCTGAGCCACCGTCATAGAGTGCAAGAGAGTCTAGGGTTTTAACAAGATGATTGAATTTTGGTTTAATTCCGTTTTATTTTGTTTGTGTTTTTCTTTCGAATTGCATGTTGTTTTGGGTGTGTTCTTATTTTCTAATACAAAATTTTAAGAATATAGGTGAGGTGATGAAACTCCGGTCTTTTAGGATGGAACTCCAGATCTTAACATGGTATCATAGCCAATTCCGGATTCCAGTTGTGGTTTGAGTGCTTGTTTAGTACCCATGATTAAGGGTAACTTGTTAAGGGCTTGTTTGGCCCGTTTATACACCCCGATTTTGTTCAGCCCGCGTGTTGAAGCATTTGTCCAACACCAGAAAGCTATAAAACAATTAAACGCTATATAAGGCTTTGGGCTCCTCCTCCTATCAGGTTGACCTTTTAGGATGAAACCCCGAGTCTTAACATTTCCAAATGAAAGACATGCTAAAAGCTTTTTTTTTGTGTTTTGCAGACTATGGAGCCCCACGCAGAAACGGTAACAGACGGATGACTGTTAAGTAGAGAAAACTTTGGTTTGCACTGAGCGTGTTTTCGTTTGTTCTTGTCGGGTTGATTTTATGGTTCACCCATAAGAGTAACCACCTTTTGCAGGCATTGGTCAGTTGGGTCTGGACCTTTCTTAACACGTTTTCAAAAAACAAAATGAAAAGCAAAAAAAAAAAAAAAAAAAAAACTAAAACTAAAGAAGATCATCTTTCCTACTGGATACTAATAGGTGCCGGTTTCTTTTACCTATTTTGTCTACTTGGTGTTTATCTACGCGGTAACCTCAAACCCCGAAAATTCCCTCGACTTGTTAGGTGGATTTTCGATTCTGGATTTGTGGTTATCTATTTTGCTATTTCTGACTACACCCATGACGTAGCTTCAGTGATTGTATTGTTTATATGGTGTCTTCATATGCTTCCACTCTCAAATCTCTTATGGGGATTTGAGAATTTCGGTTTCTTTTATTGTCTCTTGGCCAGAGACGGCTATGCATCTCACCAAAAAGAATCATCTCATACGAGTGGCTCTCTTGTCTAGTTTTCTCCAAGGTCTTAAACACATCAATGAACACAATGCAGAGACGCTCCTTACAAGATTGAGATCATGTGACAGACCTTGAGAAAAGTCTTGTTTTAATATGTTATTCTCTTTATGTGTAACAATGCTTTAGAATTTCTATTATGCTACAAGACTTGTGATAATTTAACTATGCTTATGACTTTTATATATCTCTAAACTGTGAAAATTATCTTTCTTGTTCTAAATCAATTATAATTTGGGTACCGATTTTCGGATCCATTCAAGTCTATTCGGATTTGGCTCGAAATTTTCAAATTTGGAATGTTTTTTCCAATTCAATTTCTTCGTTTTTTTTACTTACAATGTCTCGTTGAAAGAATAAAAAAACATCAATCAATCCCCAATATTAAGCACTACATTACCAAGTACATTAATAGAGTTTCAAATATCAATGTGGAAAATAATACTTTTGCATTAAACATAATAAAATAAAATAAAAATTACCATTATCTTAACCCTTCTGAAAGTCATTTTGCCAATGTGGTGGTACTATACATGGTAATAGAGGTATCTGTTAAGACCGGGGGTTCCATCCTAAAAGGTCAAGCTGTTAAGAGGAGTAGCCCAAAGTCTTATATAATGTTTAATTGTTTTATAGCTTTCCGGTATGTGACATATGTTTTAACCCGCCCCCTCAGCCCATACCGAGCTGGACAATATTTGGGTGTATAAACGGGCCAAACAAACCCTTAACAAGCTCCCCTTAATCGTGGGTGTTAAGCAAGCCGTCAAACGAAAACCGGAATTGGCTCTGATACAATGTTAAGATTCGAGGTTCTATCCTAAAAGGTCAACCTGTTAGTAGGAGTAGCCCAAAGTCTTAGAGAGAGAGAGAGAAAGTAATCTTCTGGTCAGGCCATTCTTGTTGGGGCAGTTCCCTATGGTATTTTTTTGTTCAATTTTTTTGTGCATGTTCTTCATCAAATCTAGTTTATCCATATCAAATTTTAGCTCAAAATTTAATCGGGAAGGCGGCAAAACGATTTTTGAAAGATAACCGCGTTAAAACATACATATAAAACACATTTATCTTTCAAAAATCATTTGAATGCCTTCCCGATTGAATTTTGTGCTGAAATGTGGTATGGATAAACTAGACTTGATGAAGAACATTCAAAACATTTCAGCAAAAAATACTACCGGGAACCGCCCCAAAAGGCGGAGGCCGGATAGCGCTCCGGTCAGGAACGGCCTGACATAAATATTTGTGTGTATATATATGTATATATATATGTGTGTGGGTGTGTGTTTATATGTGTGTGTGTAATTAGGATCTAATGAGAAGAGTGCTTAATGTAAAAAGTGACAATACATATGATGCATTAAATTTGAGATCTAATGGCAGCTATTAGGCCATTTGGAGTGGTGGGTACGTAGTATTAGGAGTCCAAAATGTTAAAGGTGGAATTTTTGGACTCCTAATTTCATGTAATGGTAGGCTAAATAGGGTATTAAAAGTGGAAAAGAGGATGAAGGGTGTTAGAAATAAAGGGTGAGTTGGTAGGAGTAGAAAAAAAAGAAAAAAAAAAAGAAATAGGGAAGCGAATGCCGGAGAGTGCATTGCATGGATGTGGGGATGACGTCATCCTTACGCCACTATAATCCCAATTTGTTTTAACTTTTATAACTTTTTTTTTATTCTCCACATTTTTCAAAAAATATATCAAAATTCATGAATTTTTATTATCTTTCATATGATATCAATATGTAATATATAAAATGAAAAAAATTGAAGTTTTAACTATTGGAGTTTTCTTGAGCTCAAAAAACACAAAACACAAATTTTTAATTCATTGAGTCTCTGCAAATAAATGAATATTCCATAATAAAACCTTACTTGGACGTACTAATTTCATTTTTTAACTGAAAAACGTTAATAAAAAATCATGAAATTTATTAATTTTTTACATTAAAATATGTATTTTTTATTTCATAATTATTTAAGGAAACAATTAAATTGAAAATGTTACTTATAAATAATTTAATTAATGTTTTACTAAATTGATATGTGAAAAAATATATTGAGTGTATTTTATTGACGGGTTAGGATGCAAGTGATAGGAGTCTAAACACTGTTTTCATATGGACGGAGTCCATTTTTAACTTTATAGCCTCCAAACCACTACAAATGGTCTTAAAGTGCAAAAATTGTTAAAATAAAGTGATGAGTGACGCGAGAGTAGTTTCATTATGAACTCCAAATTTGCTGTCATTCAGTGGCACACCCAGAAGTTTTCTGAAGTGGGGGCACTCCCGCATAGATGAAAATGGCTCGGATCGGGTCGAATCGAGTGTATCATTGGTCT